TTATCTCATTTTTTATATAATTTTTACATATTATTAAATAAATAAATATATTTAATATCATAAATCTCATATAAATTAAAAAAATTAATCATTTTAATGACACATTAATTTATATAAAAAAATATAAAAAAATAATTATCTCAATAACATTTTTCTTTTTTCTTTTTTTAGTTTTGTCTTTTATTTTTTTCATTTTTTGGACTGCAGTGGGATTGATTGTACCCACAAAAATTGACATCCACGAGACGCACAGGATCAACTCCCCATCAAGGGCAAAAGCAGTGCCTCTCAACGGCCCTTGCCGTGGAAATAAAGAAGATGGCATTTTAAATGAGAGAGAAGGAAGGAGGAGTGGTAATTTCCCGAATCTCATTCTCCTCAGACTTCTAATCCCACGCCTCCGACCAACCCTCCTCCGCCTCCCTCCCGTATTCTAGGGTTTCGTTTCCATTTCTCCCATGGCGGTTCTCCGGTCCACTCTTCCTCAACCCTTTTAGTACACTCCTCCACCACGCTTCACTCCCCCCTTTGCGCCTGAGTTTTTGTTTCTTCCCTTCTGTGAATTCATAAGATTGATTTCTGTTTGTTTGGATGCCTAAGATTCTTGAAGATGGATCTGATGAAGACGAGGTCAAGATCCGTAGGATTTATATCTTCTGGGAGTATTTAGCCAATCCTGCTGGTTCCATTGCGCCAATGAAACGTCCGGTCCGTCCTCTCATTAGCATTCTCTTGTTAATTGCATTCGCGGCAACCTTAAGCTTCCGGATTGCTGTTCGCTCGAGCTCAATGTTCAGTTCGGAGGCTGAGGTGCTGGTCCAGCCACCGCCACCGCCACCGCCACCGCCACCGCCAGTGTTCAACTCTACTCTGCTCAAATTCGCCGCTGTTGAGTTGGGGGAAGCCAAGTCCAAGCAAGAAATTGAGCAGCTACTAGAAGGGAAATTTGCTAGTCGGGGGCGGTACAGGACTTTCGCGTCGTGGAGAAGGTTCAATCACCATGAGACTGGAGCGACGACCTCTACAGGATTACCGGTAATTCTCAGGTCCCCACAGGTTTATCGATATTGGTTAGATTTTAGGAGGAACTTGCAGGATTGGGCCAGGAAGAAGATGTTTCAACCTGATATTATGATGGATTTGGTTAGATTAGTGAAGCATCCTCTGGATAGGCATAATGGTTTGGTCAGTTCTGATAAAAAATACAAGTCTTGTGCGGTTGTGGGGAACAGTGGTATCTTGTTGAATACTAATTATGGGGAGTTGATTGATAGCCATGAGGTGGTGATTAGATTGAACAATGCAAGGACTGGTGTCATGTATGAGCACAAGGTGGGCGCTAAAACTAGTATTTCCTTTGTAAATAGCAATATCTTGCATCTCTGTGCTAGAAGGGCTGGGTGTTTTTGCCACCCTTATGGAGCAAATGTACCCATCGTCATGTATGTTTGTCAGCCAATCCATTTCTTGGACTATATGATGTGCAATTCATCTCACAAGGCACCTTTGCTGATCACAGATCCACGCTTTGATATTCTGTGTACTCGCATCGTGAAGTATTACTCAGCAAAACGGTTTGTGGAGGAGACAGGGAAGCCATTGGATGAATGGGGCTCTACCCATGAAGGTTCTATGTTTCATTATTCCTCTGGAATGCAGGCTGTTATGCTTGCTTTGGGAATATGTGATGAGGTTAGTCTATTTGGGTTTGGCAAATCAACTTCTGCTAAGCATCATTACCATACTAATCAGAAGGCTGAGCTTCGGCTGCATGACTATGAGGCGGAATATGCATTGTATCATGATTTGGTGGAGTCTCCTCAGGCAATACCATTCATTCCAGACAAGTTCAGGTTTCCTCCTGTGGTAATTTATCAATGATTTCAGTTTAAACTTTTGTTTCGGCTTGTCAAGTTTGATATCTTAGTATTTTCATGTTGTAATGTGGTAGTCTTCCACTAGACAGTTTAAAACAAAACACGGTGACTGAAGATATCTTGTTTTCTATTCTGCCCCTGTACTATCAAAGGTAGTTTAGGGTGATTACAAAATGTAAAGTTGGAAACTGGGAATGCCATTGAAATTGGATTTTCATTTTGATATCTGCTCCTGCAAAAACATTTAGCTCTTAATGATTTTTCTTTTCTTTTCAATTCCCCCACAAAAGGCTAACGTAATTTAATTATTAGTTTGGAATGGTAATGAAGATACCTCTTAATTAGGGAAATTTTAGGCATTTGATGCATCTAACTTAATTTGATGCTTTTGAATTTAACACCTTTGATGGTGAAGGGCCAGCCAGCCATTTTTTCACCTAAACGTCTGCATTATATATTTTTAAAGGCCGCACAGCATTGCCATCAGTGGTTTGTTTGGCACAACATGCCATTGGCATTGAATGCTAGATACCCTGCAGTTAGCTCTAATATTGGGGGGAAGGTAGTTGTAGTAGCATGCAACGCATGGTTCCTACCTTATGCAAGTCTAGGAAGTAGGAACTCTTAATAGTTGATTTTAATCTGTTAAAGGTTACAAGTCTATATTGTTGGCTCATGTTGTAACTAATCCAAGGGCATTCCTTTTAAATTGGTTTATTAAATTTATTTATTTATTTATTTATTTTTTTTATTTTTACAGCCAACTTCATTTCATTTCATTTTATGCTACTGTAAATCAGATATTCGATTTCAACAAGAAATGCAGTTGATAGTTAGACACACTTCGAGATATGGACATCTATCTACCATATGTATAGACTTCTTGCTGAGCTAGCATTGATTTCATTTTATGCAATTAAAAGCACTGAGTACTGAGAAGTTGTCATGACTGCACTCGTATCTTTTATTAGGAAAAAAACATGCTTCTACAATTTTGTATGCTGATATCTCTGTGCACCACCCCTGTGAGTTTCCCTGCTTTTTAATTGTTTATGATGCATCTTGATTCTTGACTGTTAGGTAAAAGCTAGTTGCACCCAACCACATTTCAGCATGAATAAAACACACCACCCACTTGTTTTCCTGGGCCTGTTTTTATAGTTGAGGCTTCCAGGTTTTTCTCGTGCCACATTTTAGTGGTGCCATCACAGCTTTAAAATAATATGCAGTCTTTCCATATGTTGATGAAACTATGATTATATACAACTATAGGCATCACTATCCCCTTTACAATATCTTTATCCTCCTTTCAGAATCACTTTCTTCACCATCCACATGGTAAGCTTGCAAAAGAGGGGAGACCACCTATACAGAAACACACCTTGGTTCTGATTTCTTCCTTCATTCTCCAATGTTCACTTTCACACCCTTGTCTTCAAACGTCACTGAGACCAAGAACTTGATACTCACTTTTGGACCAAAAAAAAATAAATATTATCCAAGGAATGTTTGTTAAAATACTATCCACGCCTTAAACGTCCAAAAGAACAAAACAGTGTGCAAACTGGGCCACACTGGGTTTAAAAAGGATCTTCTCTCTTTTGGATGAAGATTCATCTAAACTGGGCCACAGATTTAGGTCCAATACCATATTTGGACTCATCTGGTAGGCCCATATTGAATTAATGATCCAATTGTTTATTTTTTTTAATTAATCTCTCGATATCCGATAATTACATTGGATCTCGATTAATTTGAAATTGAGTTGTGTTAGACTCTATTAGAGGAAGCTCTCTTGATACTTGTTTTTAGGTTTATATGGATCCTTTATAATTATTCTGATATAATAATAAAGTCGCTTAAATGTGTTATTGAGGAATAGGGATCAAGGGCAGTAGTAGTTTGGGTACTATTAAGGGCAGTAGTGGTTGAACTAATGCCAACAAACATTTGGATTTTGGGATTATTATTATTATTCTTTCACCCGACAAAGCATGGTGCATGGGGGGCCCCCTTCCCTTGCAAAAAAATCAAACCTTTTGCTTTGGTCAAGCCTACCTCAAAAGGAACTAAATTTCAACACCATCTCTCTGTATATATCAAAGCTTCATGATGCTCCTCCATGAAAAGTCATTTCTCAGATCTTCCTTTTCACACATACAAGCAAACCCTTTTTGGGTTTTTATTATCATATATATATATATATATATATTTTTTTTTTTTTTTTCTTCTGCAAATTAGTCCTCCCTTGAAAGACTGCTGGACGTCTAGAGTTCACCCTTTTCTTTTTAATTAATACCTAACCTTACATATATTCTCCAGTTGATGTTATAATCAGTGTATAGGTTCCCTTTTGAAACTAGCAAGACAATTATATTCCTGTCAATTTCTGCAGTTGGTGTCATGATACACATCCGTGGAATTGCCATTGATTTTGAAATTTGATGACTTTTTTTCTTTTGTTTTTTGTCTTCTTTTTCTCTATTTCTGGCATGAATATGTAATCGTGGAAATAAAGTGGTTTCTGACATAATACAAGAAGAAAGAAATTAAATTAACCGCCGTAGTGGAGCAAAATAGGACTTGAGAACCAAGATACATATATAGAAAGACAAGAGAAACCATAATGTTTAGAAATTAAACAAAATGCAATCTCTAATATATTTTGGGATTATACCATTGAGTGGTGAAGCGGATAAATTTTCTCCTTTTTTTGAGAGAGGTAACATAATGAAGTTGAATAGACTATGCTACTCCTCTGTATCATTTTAGAGAAGAAAATTCTTCAACTTCACCACTTGAGGCAACCCATTATTTATTACTTGACTCCTAAGCAAACACTCTCTTAAGTTACTAGGCTTCATCTCCCAGCAAGTGCTCCATAGCAAACCGCTCCCTTTGTGCCTAACACACATTTTTGAGAACTTTTTGTTACCGAGCATGAGCCGTGGATGAAGCTAATTAAGAACTTCTGCAACTGATTAGTACTTTAAAATACCAAATCAAACTCCAGCTAGCTAGCTTTAGTGAGCAAATTCATCTTCAGAACCAGTGATGCATTCCTTCTCATCTTCAAACCCTTCAAGGGAAGGGTGAGGAGAATGGCCCTTACCGAAGGACTTAATGTGGTCTTTTAGTGACCTCTTGTGCTTAAAATCAGAGCCACAGGTGCAGTACCATAACTTTCCGCAATTCTTTTCATGAGTTCTCCAATCTCCCTTAACAGCAAAGGTTTTCCCACATTTTCTGCACATGAAGGGCTTGGCACCATGCTTTCTTTTGTAGTGTGTTTGCAGTGTTCTGAAGTCCTTCAATGGCTTTGCCCGCGGATGGTTGATGTTGTTCTTGCATCCTTGAGCACAGCAATAGCAGGGCAGCCTCAGCATTGCTGCTGGTTGTGTTCCTTTGAGGGAATCTGGCCCTTTTCTATACTCAGAGCCATGCCCCCACATATGCATCTGTTAATACATACATCAAACTTTATGGAATTAGTGAACATGTGATGAATATATTGAAATTGACTTTGGACATAGTAAATGATCCTTGTGTCTGGCTATGACTTTTAGTTGGAAAAGCTAAAAGTTGTTAAAGGCAAATTCATTGATGCATGAAAAAGAAAGAAAGAAAAAGTGAATTCATTGAAGATGAGAAGAGAATCCAAAGTTGTAGGGCATTAATCTTTAGCAATCCCTTTTCTTTTTACTTAATCATTTCAGCTTCCTACTACAGCAACTATTACAGCCACTAGACATCATAATATTTAAGAATCTATAAAATTTTCACGCAGCCCCAACTGCAGCTTCTTTTTCTGTAGCTTTTCACCCTAAAGATAGATGCAATGAAGGATATATACAAGTCAAAAGAAATCTATCCGGGGGAGTTAGATATATTTCTATTTTAATTATGTATACAGTCACAATACCATTTAAAATTATAAATTTACAATTATAACATATCTTTATATGAGTAATTTTTTTCATTCAAGGTCGACTCACGAGTTATGTTTTCACACATGTAACTAAAAGAAGTAGTTGGATTCATTTGATCTTAATTTGCACAAATATTGTGAAACTAAGTTTTGGGAAGAGGGAAGCCAACCCATCTCACTTGGAGCTGTAGAAGGTGCGTATGCATCCTATCAATTGGCCAAGAAATTAGGTGCATGACCAAGCCTTGCGACATGTTAATCCCTTAGGAAATTCAAGAAGACATATTTTACTTGGCCTTAAGTTTATTATTTAGAAACTAAAGTAGCCTCACTTTGAGATTGGGCAAAATGATTAATAGTTAGAGTTTTGCAATCCTTATGTACTAAAATACATTGGAAGGATAAGAAATTTTATCTTTGTATATAAAAAGAAAATTTAAAATTCTACAACATAAAATTTGAATTTGAATAACTCAAACTAAAGATTAACTTAAATTATTAGGTTAACTTTTAGTTTTTTTTTTTGCTTAATTAGTAATCATTCACCGTTCACATATTTTTCTCTTTTTGTTTGTATCATAATAGAAAAATTATTCATAAAATAATTATACATCGATTAGTTTGATTTCATTTCATTATTGTAAGATTTTATTATATTGGGTGTAATTAATTCAAACCATAATTCACTATTTAATTTTCTTTCTTTGTTTTGACCCAATCAAGAAAATCATTGAATTGAAGTAGTAAAATTTTTCTCCATCCATGGTGTGTATTGCATTATAGTTAAATTCATTTAACTTCTTACCCGTGAAAAGAATTCTTTTAGCCCTACAAGGAAAAGAAAATTTTGATGTGTGACTTTTTGGAGTTTTCAGAAAGCTGTTTCCTTTAGCAAGCAAGTTGAGATGCTGAATGAGATTAACACGTTTCATCTTTACAAAGCACACTATAATTACCCTTTTATCATTTTGTACCGACAAGATCAAATAATCAAGTACTTAGATAATTAATTAAGATGGAATTAATATATTTAGTAAGATGCTCAATTAATATAAACACATTAAATTAATTAGTAAAAGTAATCCATACTGACCTGCATGTTATTGTACCTATTGAATGTCTTGCTGCAGATGGAACAAGCGAACTGCATCGGACCAACTAGGATCTGTGCTGGTGTTGGGATCCAAAACCTACTCTCTGTGTTGAAAGAATCTCCATGGAATCTTTTCTTCATGGGAGGTTCCTCTTCTTCTTTGAAAATGATCCTGTTATTCTCCAGAGTAGGATCATCTACAGTGTTAGGCAATCCAATGTGCAAGGAAATCGTGACCTTATTCATCTTCTGATCTTCTTTTCCTTGAATTCCTTCATCTTCCTCCTTCAATGACTTGTTGTCTGTAAGCCTGCTCAACAGAGGCAAGCATTGGATGTCCTGCTGCTGCTGGAATGACAGAGGAAGTTTCAAGATGTTCATGGCTGGATTTGGGAATTGGATTTGTGGAGACACAGATTCAGATGAAGAAGAAGAAGATGGGGATGAAGATAGTGAAGAAGAACAGGGCTTGAGCCATTCGATGAAGGTAGGAGCTGTAGCTTGAAAGCATAAGTTTTGTTCTTGTACATGGTAGCTCCTGAAACCCATCTTTCTCTCAAGAGAATTGTGGTCTCCTGAGATTAATGGTTTATATCTAGATTTTATGTGGGAAAGCTTGCACATAGAGTTGATTTATGAAAAGGGTGTTTGGTTAATTTGTCCTTTTTGGAAGAACTCCTTTTTCATTTTCTACCTCTGCCCTGTGACGGGAGAAGAGAGAGATTAGTGGTGGGGTTAAGGAAAATGACGTGCATAAACCAAATGACTCGCTAAATGAAGAGAATCCTAGAATAGTTTGAACTAGATGTGTAATGTTAATTAGCTAGCTCATGAGAGATCAACGATTCAATAATTTTGTAGTATTTGTTCACGCGGAGTTCTGTTACAATTACAACTAATTTCTTCAAATAGTTAGATAGGCTAATAGATTGAAATATCAAAGATATTAATATATCAAATTTTAAAATTAAGTAATCAATATATAATTGAAACATATATAAATCAATTAAAAATAATTCAAACATGAAATCTCCAAGTTTAATTATATCCGTCTTATATGCACATCAAATTTATTGTCTTGTATATATTTGAAATATGAGCACAAGACCATAAATGAAAGATCATACTACAATTTGTTATTTGAATTTTTATTTTTAGGTTCGGATACCTTTTATATTTTTAAGTAATAAATTTTTTTATTAAAAAAAGTACAAGACGTGTATATTTCTTACGGGTGTGGATTGACATAGAGGGGATGACGTTAAATTGGGAGAAAATGAAAAGGAGGAGCATAACTATTTGGTCAATACGTAAAAGAAAGGAAAAACAATATAAAAACTTAGTTAAAAAAAATAATCGTGGCCATGCCGGTAAAGAATGTTTGAAACGTATAAAATATGCACATACAGTATAATAATTTATATGAACAAATCAAGTGTAAAACTGATAATGTTTAATTAACTAACCCAGTTTCTGTTACCTTGTACTCTAGATTTCAACATAGGCTGCTAAAATCCCATTTGCCCACTTTATTTAACAAAATCAACATGACATATTGAACTCCAAAACTAAAGTCAAGTTTATATATTGTTAGTGCTCGAGATATGCTACGTAGGATTTTTTAGTAGTCATGAGAGTTTTTTTTTGACTAACTTTTGTGTATTTAAAAATTATTATTTTTTAAATTGATAAGAAAAAGGTATTTATACTAAAATTAAAAAGAGAATCTAAGATATGATACTCTAATTAAAAAAGAGATTTGTTTATTATGTTATTTATTGAGAAATGATTTCGAAACAATTTTTTTATTTTATATTTTTGTATAATTTGACATGTTATTTATGTAGTTGATTTTTTTATTCATATAAATTATGTGATATTAAATGCATTTATTCATTTAATGACATATAAAAATTATATAAAAAAGTGATATAAAAAAATTATCTTTATAACAGCATCCTTATTTATTAGGGGTTGTTTGCTTTGAGAAAAAAAGATCATTTCATCCAATAAAATTAAAACGTTTGATTAAATGAAAATAATTTTTCTTCTTCTTCCTTTATTTCCTTTATATCAAACATTCTCTCAAAATACTTTTAAAGGGTGATTCAAATGGTTTAACATTTGAAATTTTAATTTAAAAGTTTCAAAACAAATCCTTAAGTAGGGTGAAGCTGTTTTTTTTTCTTTTTCTTTTTCTTTTATATAACTTATTATAAGATATAACTAAAAAAAATTCATAAAATTTAATTCTTTAAAAAATAAAAATAGAATAAAAATTCACAGACATAAATTTTACATAATACATTTTTATAAAATTTTAATTATTTATCTTTTTATTTTTAATGGTTAATATTTAATCATATTTATTAAAAATAATTACTTTTTATCTAAAAATCATAACAAACCTTAATAATTAAAAATAAAAAAATAAAATTTATATATAAATAAAATTTATATATAAATAAAATTTCCTTCATAAAAACACAATAATTTCACGTGAATCTCTTTTTAGACGACATCCACGCCGCCCCCCGTTCCTTCGTAAGTTAGTCTTGATAAAGCATAGGTCTAGTTTGTTGGAGAGGGAAAAAACGAAAAAAGGAGGGGGAGGGAGATGACGATGACCCCACTGCGCCAATCATGCAAAATAATCTCTGGGTACTTTGGGGCCAAAAGATTAACCCTTTCAAAACAATAACAATTTTGCCGACAACAAATCATAACCGGATTTTCAGGGGATAGACATAAACACACAGTTCCTCCATCCATCCATCCATCTCTCTCTCTATCTTTATTTTTAACCCTTTGCTTTTGTATGTTTTCTAGCAGACTCAATTCTCCGGTAAAAATTTATTTTTAATCCTTTATCTTATCAAATTTAAAGGTTTCAATCCCTTATTTTATATATTATGACATTTTTAATTCTTTATTTTATTACATTTGTAAGTTTTAACCACTCATCTTACATTATAACACTTTTAACCTCTCACCTATTAAAATTAAAGAAAATAGTCATCACTTTATAACATTTTGTTAGTTCTGTTAGCTAACTGTTAGCTGACTGTTAACGGATAAAAACCTTCTTTCAGCTAATACAGTTAATAGAACTAATTTTATAATATTTCGTTAATTCTTTTAACTAACTATTAGTTGACTGTTAGTTGACAAAAATCTACTTTCAACTAATAGAGGACAAAAATATATTTTCAACTAACAGAATTAACAGTCAGTATAAAGCGAGGGCTATTTTCTTCAATTTTAATATGTGAGGGGCTAAAACTTATAAATTTAGTAAGATAAGGAGTTAAAAATGTTATAATATAAGTAAGAGGTTAAAACCTTCAAATTCGATAAGGTGAGAGATTAAAAGTAGCTTTTTGCCCAATTCTCCCCCCTCCCCTTTTTTGTTTTCGTTTTCAGTACTGTTTCCACTTTACTACTTTCAACCTTTCATACCTTAGAGAATGAATATGTACTGTTCCACTAGTTGAGAAACTCTCTCACTAATAATATTTAAGCAATTTTCAAATTATTTTTTTTTTTATGAAAGGAAATGAGTTTTTCTTATTTGGTTCTAAGGGTGGAGTAATTAGTAGTTTTTTTTAATATTAATTAATATTAAAAAATAAAAATTAATCTTTGATTTAATCAATAATTTAAATAAAATAATATACATCATATTAATAGTGAAATTAATATTAATTTTTATATTTCTTAATACTAATTAATATTAAAAAAAATATTAATTATATACATATGGCACATGTGTTAAAAAAATATCTTTTCAAATCTAGTAAATCAATGAAAGATGAGCTACAGAGTGCAAGCTCCTCATTTTTAAGTATTCAACCTTTTTGGCAACGTAAATTAATTAAAAGTTGTGGGAATTCTCATCCTTAACGTGCTTTGGTATTAATGAAAAAGAAAAAAAGTGCTTTAGGATTTCTATTCTCTTTCAATTTGGATGGTCCGGCTGTCCTTATTATTATTATTATTATTATTTTGTCATGATTAGATGTCGATCCTTTAATCATCATTTTTCACTCGTTTAAATGCATTTAAAGAAATTAAATTTTCTTAAGTATTGGGCCGAAAATCTCAAATCTTCGACAGTACAAGACCACACTTATCCTTAATATGTTTTAGGGTTGATAAATTAACGAATTAATGGTGTTACTTTGAGTTAGGTAAAGCTTTGCGTTGGAATGCAACCTTTGTGGGACTTAACGATTTTTATCATCAAATCTTCTCTAGAATTTCATTATAACTGACATATATATCAAAGAAAAAAAAAACAGCATCATCATAACACTAAGAAAATGAACATTTTGTAATAGTAAAATTGGTCATAAAAATCTAAATTTTAGATATAAATTTAATTTGTGACAAAAAAAAAGTAAAATGAGTTTTTGGAACCAATTTTTTGTCACAAAATGTTTATTTTCTTGTAGTGTAAGTTTTGTGATTAATTAATGGTAAAAGTTTACATAATATGAGCAAAGAAAAGAAAAAGATCCATCTCTTTCCTTGTGAATATGAAGTTTACTATAAATTGATCAAGAACATGAGAATTTATTTTCGTTTTAAGACATTTTAATCGTTACCATCTTTTCATTCACAAGAAGGAAAAGAAAGAGAAAAAGAGAAAAACAGTCCCAAAGGAGATGCTGCATTATGTTGGTACAAAGGGTTCAAATGTAACAAGAACATGATGCATGTTTATAAATTTTAAGTTAAAACCAAAAGTAAAAGAAGCTAGAAAAGGTTCACAATGCTCCCAACTCATTTGCCCTTGTAATTTTTACAATAGTGACAAACTTTTAGAAATTAAATTGGGATTAGCTTCTAAACATCTTTTTTCCTTTCATCTTTAATTTTCCATTAATGTTTATGGTAAAGTTGTGACTTATCTCGTGCACGATAGAAGGTTCTAAGAATAAACTAAAAAACATAGTCTCTTTATTAACAAAAATTAACTTTGCAAATATTTGAGAACAACCAGAACATATATACATGACAAATCGTGATTGATTCCAAGGTTTTAAAACCTGATCAGTGATTGACCTGTTTTTAACACCAAGTTTTATTCAATTGTTTCAACTAATTAACTAAAAATTGAGTTTTATTTTTTTTTTTGGTATATTTTACTATTATATATTAATATTACCATATTTTCAAAACATAATTACCTTAAAAACAACTTAAAAATCACCTTAAAAATAACTTAAAAAGTTGAATTTAATTAAATAGATGCAATGCAAAAAGATAAAACGCATAAAAAGTAGAAAATTAAATTTTTTTTTTTTTTGATACTAGCTAGGTCAGGTCAACATGTCAATTGGGTTGCTTGATTGACTAGGTTTTATGGATTTGACTAAATCAATCCTCGAAATATATATTAAAATATTTACTCAACCCCTTCTAGTAATCAAATCAAATCAAATTTTAAAACAGTGATTGATTCCCTATTATTTAGTGTCTTGTGAAAAAATTAGGTTGATATATAGGAACTCGAATAAAACTTACACTATACATGATATGGATTTCATTTGAAATTCACATAGGTACAAAAATTATAATTGGTTGTCCATCATATTAGTGAAGTCATTTTGATGTCATCCTCCCAAATTAGCTGATTCATGTACATGATATTGATATTAATTTCAAATTGTCACTATTTCAAGTCAGAAATA